AGATAGATAAATATTATTTACTATAACTTACTCGGATTCCTCAGGGGACGACTCCATGACATCATCTTCTGCAGCAGCAGCAGCAACAGGACCAGCAGCAGCAGCAGCAGCAGCAGCAGATGAGAACCAATGGATTCCTCCTGTGTCTTGGTTATGTAGCTCTAACAATGTGTCTCCTAGAAGGAGACACTAAATTAAATATATATATTTAATTATTTTATTTATTTATTATATTTATTTATTTATTATATTTATTTATTTATTTATTTATTTATTTATTTATTTATTTATTTATTTATTTATTCTTACCAACAGCAAATGCAATATTTTTCTTGGACTTAGAGGGACGCAAGAGGAGACTATCATCAACAGGGACAGGAGACTGTGATACCTGCATATACACCCCAATATAATGCATGCACTCGCTGCTCTTGCTGCTGCTGCTGCTGCTGCTGCTGCTGCTGCTGCTGTTACTCCATGTGCTGCTACTGCTGGTGTTACTGATGCAACTGTTGCTGCTACTGCCGCTACTGTTGCTACTGCTGCTGCTACTGCTGCTGCTGCTGCTGCTGCTGCTGCTGCAGGTGTATAGAGGCGTACAGATGACAATGAAGAGAGACAAGAGGGGACGTCTCCTCGTCTTGCTCTGCCTCCGGGGACTCGAGGACCTATAAGGAGACAGAGAGACAAATAAGGAGACAGATAAGGAGACAAATAGGGAGACAGAAAAAGGAGACAGAAAAGGAGACATATATAAGCGGACAGATAAGGAGACAAAAAGGAGACAAAAAAGGAGACAAAAAAACTTACTATTATCCTCAAAGCTCCGGATACAGTTGAGGGGACCGGAGTCTAGACGATGGGAGAAAGTCCCTCTGCTGTTGACTAAGGAGACAAAAAAGAGACAAAAAAAGACAAAAAGAGACAAAAGGGGATAAGAGGGAATTATTAAGATAAAAGGGGAGGCAAAAGGGACAGAAAAGGACAGAATAAGAGGCGGATACGGACAGGAGGACAGAGAAAGGGAGAAAGAGACACGTGGCACAAAAGGGGGGAAAAGGAGACAAAAAGGAGACAAAAAAGGAGCAAGAAATAGAACGGAGACAGAAAAAGGAGACAAAAAGGAGACAAAAAAAAAGGAGACAAAAAAGGAGACAAAAAAGGAGACAAAAAAGGGGACAAAAAAGGGGACAAAAAAGGAGACAAAAAAGGAGACAGTAGCCTACATCTTTGCCATGAATTTCTTGGACTATTATTAGGTGGTGTTTGTTGTTGGGTGTCCCTCTGCATGCCGTGTGTTGCTGCATTAGTAAAGGTGGGGTTGTTGCGTGCTGCTGCTAGTGCAGCAGCAGCAGCAGCTGCTGCTGCTGCTGCTGTTGCTGCAGGTGATTGTTGTGCTGCATCTGTTGCTGCAGCACCAGGAGAATGTGCTCCATCGTCTCCTGCTGCTGCTGCACCACCAACTATACTGCTGCAGCTACTCGTGCATGCATCCTTAAGCCCCAATTGTCCACTAGTGTCTCTTATGTCTCTTCTTCTTATAACTGAATCTTCTTCCCTACTGTCTCTATTTCTTATGGAGGCAAAACTACTGTCTCCTTTTCCTCCTCCTCCTCCTCCTGCTGCTCCTCCTGTTGCTCCTGCTGCTCCTGCTGCTGTCCCTAGACCACTCTGCTGCTGACTACTCCTTGAGGCCAATAAATCACTACGAGTACGAATTGTCTCCGATGGCGCCAAATATCCCTCAAAGTCCGCCATACCGTATATCCTGTATATATACGTACATATACATATACATATATACATATATACATATATACATATATACATATATACATATATACATATATACATATATACATATATACATATAT